TACATTAATCACAGAGGATTCTCTTGCTTAATTAATCTGGAGCACATTTTTACTTGATTAAAGATATTTTAAATACTTAATCTAAGCAATTAAGCAATTAGGTTATGGTGGTAGCTAGTTCAGACTTCTTCACCTCTTCTCTTGAGAAAAGAAACGGGGGGGGGGGAAGAGAGAGGAAAAAACAGCTGGCAAAAAAAAAGTTGCATGCCATTTGAGAAGCAGGTCTGATGCTTGGAAGATGCCAAGTGAATCCATAACCCTTGATGTGTGCGTTTCGAATTAGAGCACATCCGCAGGCTGCTTCCACTGATTGACCACAGAGAGAAACCCCCAAGGATTTTGGCTCATTTGCCTAAAGGAGTAAATTACATCTTTTTTGTTTTCTTTTGAAAACCCAGTGACAAACGAGGGGGAAACGGTAGTAGCAATTAGCAAGGCTGGAGTCTCAAATGGGAGACAACAGCGGGGGTTTCATTTTCTCTTCAGGCATAATTAAAAATGCTCTGTGCATTAAAAGGTAATGTGACCTGAATTTGCATAATGACAGAATGCTTAATTACAACCCCATCTCAAATCCGACAGTGAACTTCAGCAAATACTTGACGGTGCAAGTACACACGTACGTTTCTCTTCTATCTCATTAGCCTTAACCAGTTCAGGTTCTACTTACTTTGAGAGAAAACTAACCTGCCTTCGTCTGTTTTCCTCCCCAATAAAATAGATTATTATGGCTGTTTTTGAGAAGATCGGAACTGAAATGCTAATCCGGGGGTACAATCTACTCAATCAGATTTATCATCAAGAGCCCTGTCAATGGCTAATATATATACAGGCAATCCTTGAATTAGAACCACAATTTGGACTGGAAGTTCCATCACTACGCAAGGCAATCATTAAATGAGTCACGCCTGATTTTTATGACCTTTTTCCCCAGTGGTTACTATGTGAATCACCACAGTCTTTAAGTGAATCACACTGTTGTTAAGGGAATTTGGCTTCACCCACTGGCTTTGTTTGTCGGAAGCTGCTGGCTGCGAAGATTGCAAATGGGGATCGTGTGACACTGCAGCTGTCGCAAATACATGTCGATGGCCGAGCGCCTGAATTTTCATCATAGGACTGAGGGACGCTGTGACAGTCGTAAGTGAAAGGACCAGTCCCAATTCATTTGTTGCAGCACCATCTTCAAGCAATTACTCATCAAATAGTCATAAGTCAAGGACTACTTATAGTAAGATGATAGATAGATAGATAGATAGATAGATGGATGGATGGATGGATGGATGGATGGATGGATGGATGGATGGATGGATGGATGGACGGACGGACAGACAGACAGAAATAGATCATAGATAACTAGATCGATCAATCGATAGATAGACCAATAGATTGATAGATAAAAATAGATAGCTAGATCGATAACTAGAAATAGATCGCTAGACAGCTAGATCGATAGATCGATAGCTAGCTATAGATTGATAGATAGCTAGATCGATAGATCGATAGCTAGCTAGCTAGCTAGATCAATAAAATAAATCGAAAGATAGCTAGATCGATAGATAGCTACCATAGATCGGTAGATAGCTAATAAACAAACAAATAAATAGGTGGTAGATGATAGATAATAAGGGAGAGAGAGAGAGCTACAAAAATCAGTTGACTAGCAATGTTGTCATGTAAGAAAGATTTGCCAATTCCCTTCCCAATGAGAGCCTGCCAGATATTTGGACTACATTTCTC